ATATTACAGAGAAAATTTGTTCCATACAAGTTCCATACGAGATTTGTAGAGCAATATATTTTGTGTCCCAAACTGATATAATTCAGATTTTCTACTTTCAATTTAAGCACTTAAATACAGAATGAAATGTATGCTCAAACTTGTAATTCAGTGTCCTTATCGATTTATTCCAAGAAATGATATGTAAATAGAAAAAAAACTGTCAACGAAATATTTCTAAAATAAAACCATGCAAATAAACTTCAAGCATTATACATTTTACATTTGAGAATGCTATTTAGAATTGCTTCGTGTTATATCATAGTGGGCATATAGACAATAAAATATAAGTTATTTGTATTTTTATTTCTCTTGGATATGTCTCATTAAAAAAAAATTGGTTAAAATCATCAGCAATTAACAGTGTATTTTTTAGATTTTTTTCTTATATACAAGGTAAAGATGTAGAGGTCAGAGCACATCGTTATTATTTTAATTTAAGTACTACATGCAGTGTTTAGTTGTCCTTTTCAAATTTCACACTTAATTCCATTTTCAACTTGTTTGCTTCTTACAATTGTATAGAATTTCTAAAAGTATTACATGTAATCCGCTGGTTTATTACATGTATAATGTATACTCCCTAATCGCCTGTCCAGAAATCAGAACAGGTGAAGCAGAATCTATTTTTAGAATAGCGAAGGTTAACTCATATCATGACCTAGAAAATTATGTAAACAAACCACAAGAATCGGAAGTAGAACTGATATTATAACTTCCTTACCATGAAAGACTACATGGCGGTAAAGTGTTGAAAACTCTTCTTACATGCATTTTCAATAATAAATATTTATACTAACCATTGTACTGTATCTAATATATTAATAACTGCTGAATATTCAGCTAAACTCGCGGTATGAGTCACTAAAATAGTTCTTCTTTTATTAATGCGCAAGTTATCCTAGAGTCACGAAAAACTTTTGATTTGTTAATAATAATGTTTTGTATAATGTAGAAATATTTATTTCCTACTAATAATGTCTTGGAACTCAGAGGTTACACCTTTATTGTTGTATAATTTGCTGTCCTACTTTTTCGACAGCGGTAAATCGTTTTGGCAGTAATTTGCATATTGTGCAATAATACTACGGGACTACAACGTTTTTATCAATAATATACGTTCATATTTTAACTTGGATAACTTAATTTGAAATTGAAAAGGCTAAATATGGAAGATTTTAAGATATCCAGACAAAGTATGGGAGTTTTGAAAGATCAAATTCATGTACTATTTCTTGGGCTGTTAATCGGTTTAGGACACATTGCGCGAGTGTAGCCAACGAATTCCCATGTGTAGATGACTTAGCTCTGAACGCGCCTGAGGGCGCGTCCGTCGCAAAAATGGGCCGAAAAGGGTCGGTTGAACCAGACTTGCCCGGCCGAAAACGACTGGGCCGATTCCAAAAATGGGCCAAAATGTGACCTAACCACTCTGCTAGTTTTATACTCAACTATGGGATGTTATGAGATTTAAAGGCTGTTTTGATTGGCTCAAATATGTATGAAAAACAAAAATAACATATGTACGAAAAACAAAAATAAAATATGAATGCAAAACTGAAAAAATATGTATGCAAAACTAAAATAAAATATGTATACAAAACTAAAAACAAAAAAATGCAAATGTCACTTTTATGCAACCGTAATTTTGTTATATGAACACGATTTTTAGATATTTCAAGTGGTAAAATTAATGAAACTTTTATCACTTAAGCATCATACAGTATTGACCGCCATCTTGAACTCCAACTCAAATATTCCAATGTCGCAGATAGAAAATAAGTCAGTACACAGTATTTAAGCAGAACTCAGATGACACCTTTAGACCTCTTGAACCCAAAGTGCGTTGATATGTAGCATATTAACGCACTTTGGGGTCAATTTCTCGATTTTGATCCCAAAGTGCGTTTGACCCCAAAGTGCGGTGCGAAGTTTAACGTACTTTGGGGTCGGACCCCAAAGTGCGTTTGACCCCAAAGTGCGGTGTTACACAGCGGCCTTTTACGGTTTCTTGACCGAATGAACTTTAACTTTGCAGACAAAACTCTTCCTGTTGTAGAAACGCACGTATTTCAACGTTCAGAATTTAGCTCAGTCTATTAAGCCAGTCTTAAACATTTAATTTATATATAACACATTGAAGATAAAGGTATATTGAGAGATGCACTTTACTCAACCTACTTATTGATATGTTTGGTTAGAGACACTTAAACTTTCAGAAATAAGTGCAGTTCTTTTTAATTAGAAAAGGGCAAATATATGTTTATATCATATAAGTAAAATAGAGCTGAATGTGTAATTATATGTCGTAAAAAGCATCCAAGTATTTAAACTTCCATGCAAATAATTATCACAATAACTGTTCTAAATTCTTTTCCAAAATGAAAGCGAAATAAATAAGACGATTCAAGTATTTACTCTTCGGAAACCGTACCAGAACACTACAAAATAAGAAGTTTTTGAGAATTGAAAATAATAACAGTTTTGATGCATGATGGGCCTTTTAAGTCTCACTATTAGTTGAAGTGCCATAAGAAGCGAATAAAGAGAGCTATACTTGCTCAAGTTGGACACAGTGTATCTCACTATTAGTTGAAGTGCCATAAGAAGCGAATAAAGAGAGCTATACTTGCTCAAGTTGGACACAGTGTATCTCCCCTTCGAAGGTTAGAATCCTGAATGTTTATTTTAAGATCGGTGGTTACCTCCTCCGATATTAAAGCTTGGAGGTCGACATACGATCCTAGTCGATACACAATCGCAACTTTTCGGCCCTTTCCGTAAGACCTCGAACACAATAGTATGAATACACAGAACAGTATTTCGGTCTAAACAAATAGTAATTTAATGCTAGGAGTATTTCCAATAAAAGTATAAATCCACCTAAAATAAGTCAATTCATAGATACAAAAGCAAACAATACATTATTTATATATTTATTATCATGAGTGTAGAAACTAAAAGTACAAAATGCCAACCTGTTGAAATTAAGTCGGATTTGTTTTAAATTGTACATCAGTGAGAATTTTTTAATACAAAAGTGTTGTCAGACATACTAATATTTTCAATCATTATTGTACCGAAACATACTTTTTTCTCATTTGGATGCCAAATATATACACTGGTAATTATGTACATAACACGTTTTTTTATCATTACAAACTCTGTTTCTATGTACATCTGAAACCACGTGGTAGAACTTCTTTCAACCCGTATTGTTTCCGAGGTTATTATAGATAATAGACGAGAATGTTCCGATTGATCGATACAGAGTTCATGCGCCTTTAAACCTAGCAAAACAAAATAAAAATCGATCTTTTGTGACGCTTTTTTTACTTTTTTGCTAAAAAGTACCTACTTTAACAAATATACAGCATATAAACTTTATACATGCATATCAAGTTCGCTTTGAGAAATGTTTCTCTAAATATCAAATATTGAATTAGATTCAACAAAGTTTTTTTTGGGGAAATGGTGCTAAGTTATAATCGTACAGGAACAGATACAGAACTGAACCGAACAGAACGAACGAGTCAGGAAGTCTTTGGCGGATACTTTGGCTCTGGCTTTGGTCCAAGGGCAACACGTTTTAATAATGATCACAGAAACATGCCAGTCTTCAACAACTCTGAACAATAGACAAAACAAAATAAAAAAGATGTACAACGCACAGGAACTGTCCATAAAACCTCTAAATTATGATAATAAAATAAAAAAATAAAAGTATTCAATATTTTTGTTAATCCAAATGTTTTTTTGTTGACCGAAAGTCATGTTAATAGATTACATTAATATACGCAAGTAATTGATGAACTAAATTATGGTTAATTCAAAAAATGACATTTTTATCTCTGGGAAAAGTAAGGTCAGGAAGTAAACTTCAATGTGAAAAGACCAAGATAGTGACCCCGGAGGTCCCATAGTACATGTTTACTAATGAATACTGTAAAGCTCAATTATTTTGCGTAAAATATTTTTCACCACCATTAGAATTGGTAGTGATAGTAGTAGTATAGTAGAAGTAGTGGTAGAAGTGGCAGTAAAGTGGTTGCGGTAATGGTGGTTGTGGAAGTATTAGTAGCGGTATTTGTAGTAGTGTGGTGGTGGTAGTGGTGGTTGTATTTGTGAAAGTAGTGATTTTGGTGGTGGTGGTAGTGGTAATGGTGACGATGGTGACGATGATAAGTAGAGGTTGTAATAATAATAATAATAATAATAATAATAATAATAATAATAATAATAATGATGATAATAATGATAATAATAATAATAATAATAATAATAATAATAATAATAATAATAATAAGAATAAGAATAATAATAACAATAACAATAACAATAACAATAATAACAATAATAATAAAAACAATAACAACAATAATAATAATCATAATAATCATAATCATAATAATAATCATAATAATAGTTATGACAATGATATTACATTAATATTTATAAAATAGAAATAGGTTACTGGTTTATAAAAAGTTACGATACAAGTTATGCTCTTTCATGAAGTAGTTCATTTCTTTGCTTTTGCCCTTACCCTGCTTGAGGAAACAGATTTTAAACACAGGACCAGTGCAGACCATCCGCACCGTCTGATCATAATCAGCACTTATACCTGGACAGCCAGTTCATAATTTGAAATCGTCCCTAAATGATAAATGGTTTTGTCCAGATTGAAATATAGGCTTGTCCATATACGTTGTAAAGGTCATGACGTAACGTCGGTGTAATTTACAATCATGAATAAAAAACAATGTTATTTATATTTAACGTCCTTATTCTGGTACGAATAATTGTCATCTTTAGTATTTCTCTAATTAACAGCTCAAAATTGTTCTCGGCTCTTTCCGTCAAGCTTCGGATAAAAACTTCGGTTATTATTGATAGCCGAGATTCCGATTGAATTGTTCTCCCGCAAAATTAAAATGTTTACACCATTTTACAATATTAGACTGCATATTTGCGTAACGATATGAAATTATATAAAAGAGGGTTCTTATCTAAGTGAGCTGCACAAGTTTTGGGGCAATCATCGTTTTATGCCACAATAAAATACCGAGACGTGAGTAAATATAATAACTTTTGGTTAATGTTTATTTTTGTCTCTTAAACTTTTTCTTATAAATGAAGCTACGATTTCTAAATAATACAAATAATGTTATATTATACATTTTCAGTTGCATTATTTAACCTTTTTAATAGTAATAAAAACAAATTTTTGCATTGTCAGTGAATTTGTTTTGGATTTTTAGTCACATGCATGTCCACTGTGAGGGCATATGACGACATCCAAGCTTTGTGGAGGAACGCTCCTCTATGCATTTTTTTTTTATATAATTTTGTTTTCTGTTTTATATAATTCTGTTGATTTTTTCTGTTTTACACGCTATTTTGTTGTGCTGTTGCAAGAACTACTGTACATGGGACTTCAAGTCAGTCACTTTGAAAACGGAAATAAGTTTTTGTTCAGTACCAAGCATATTGAAAAGAATATTACATTATATAAGTGACACACACATGAATACGACATTTATGCGATTTTATTGGAGAGGTCATCAGACCTCTCCATAGTGTTCAGACTGATTGCTGGCGGCATCCATTTTTGCGTATCTGATTGTAGTAAATGAATGTCATTTACAGCTTAAAACCATTAGGAGCAGTCTACAAAATTTGTTTTGCGCATGCTCCGTTTCAAAATACGACTTAACTTAAACGAAAAATTGACCTTTTCGAAAACCTAGCTAAACACCGTTTTCCGGTACGTTACGGAACATCGAAGTGAACGAATCGATCGGTACAAAGAAAAATCGGAAAATATTATTTACGTTACTTAGCGCTACGTGGATGTTTCATTCCATTCTTATCTTTTAAATGTATAAATCTTTTACAGTATTGTTTTCTGAAAAGCGTTTTACTATTTCTTGTTCCGATAAATAGTAACAGTAACGATAAATAGTAACAGTGAACATATATAGATACATTAACACCATGCACTATTATATGACCGAGTGAACCGTGTATCGCGTGTACAAAGCTCTTTTGAACTGGTATGACTAAGTAACGCAACGGGGATTTTTTGGCGCAAGTGGCACACATTTGACACAAGTTTGATTTTCTAAAAATATTATGGTTGGAGGCATGCAGCTTTTTATATTCTGTTTATTCCAATCAAATGATATAAAACATTTTTATGTAAATCCTTGACTTAAAATTGTCTGATTAACATACTTTATGGCCGTTTTGGAAAATGTAGAGGAAATGTTTTCATATACTTACCAAAACATAAATCGAACATTTGCTTATTGAATTTTACAAGAAACTTTTATTTTGATACTACTTTTAATATACATATCATTTATTTTAAATTTAGTTTCCTTTGTATATAAAGTATCCCTAATGCGTCAAGGAAAAAATCCATTTCTCCAGCATATAATCTCATGAATCTTTCAAAACATTAAAAAATGAAGTGTAAACAAACTTTCATTATGATACTATATATTCAATTTATATAATAAATTATATTTTGTTAAATAATTGTAATTTATAACCATTCATTGTGTCTTATTTCCAAATATTTTCAAATTAAACAAATCTTCCACAGCAGCAAAAATACCTCTCGCATGCTTTTTTTTAAAGAAGCAAACTTGTATATGATAGCTGAAACTGTGTTTGCGAAGGGAGGCTATGCATAAACAAAAAGAATTGACAACGATTCGCCCCACTGACGATTCGCGTAATAACGACTCGCCTAACCTTTGTGTTGATTCGTTGTATTACCAACACATCACATTGTCTTCTCTCAAATCATCATCGTCAGAAAAGGCATATGGTTGTTTAAAGCAATTAATAATTAAAAAGATTCATGCAAACTTCCATGAACATTTTGAAAATGTGCTTAAAAAATAAAATGATAGAAGGTAAACAAAAAAAATAAGTCAGAATATGCAAAAATATTCCTTACTGCGTTAGTCACGCTGTAGATATATAGTGCTTTACAGTAAAATTAGTCATTAATCGCACATAACTTAACTATGGCTTGAATCTTGAATCTTTTTACTTTTCTTAAAATCTTAATACATTGTTCTAAAGGTTGATTGTCTTAAAAATATTGGCTGATCTGGAGGCATGCACCTTCAACAGACAGTTTACGGCAATGTATAGGTACAATGCATCTTTTCTATTCTATAGCTGCTTTTGATCATATTTAAAGATATCTCCAAAGAGTAAGGGATAAGTATTTACTGTACAAATAATTTATTTTAATTTTCTTCACAGAAACAAGATGTTGTCTCTTCTGCTGCTTGTCTGCGTGACGTCATCACTCGGAGCACCTGTGAACATTTTGAATTCATGGAACGGTGGATTTCAAGGAACGTTCACAGTTCATGCTGACCATGCTGTTCACGGATGGAAGGCTCACCTTACATTTGACAAACCCATTGATAGCCTCGAGGTAAACGGAAAATTACGTAAACATTGCAAAAACCGCGTAAATTCTCAACAAATTTCGGCAATTTTCGCATCTTTTTGTTTCTTAACAAATTTACACAAGCATTCAATTAAATTGTCCGGGGTCAGCCAATTTGATTTAACTTCGAAATAAACAAAATGCAAGCAGTAAGTTTTGTTTCGTGTTTTTGAATGGTTGAAATATGTAGGGTTTTTAACTAAATCAAATAAGACATTGATGATTTGTATGGGTAGTGTTTGCATTGATATTCATGAAAATGATAATTAAATCGATCTACAGAATGTTGGCCGTATAGGAAAGAGGTCCGAGTCCGATCCACACCAAAAATGTCTAAGATTTTAATATGAACTTGACATTTAAGAAATATGGCAATGCAAGTCTTAGTTTTTGACCCAGGCTTATTCTATGGATGTCAGGGTCCGATTGTAAACACTGTAGATAACCTTTATTATGTAAATGTCTTTATATAGTATCTCCGTTTTTCTTGTCCTTATATTGAATTATTATAAGGCAAAATAAAATGTATGCTTGTAGTGCAGTTTTTGAATGTATGGAAGTCCACTGACGCATGTATTACATACTATCACTATGTAATGTTTGTTTGTTTGGTATCGTATTTACAAACGTACGTCGATATCAGCACATATCTGTCACATTACGGTGGTCGGTCCATTTAAACCAGCTTTTCTGGTTAACTAAACAGTTATTGCGAATTTTCCCGCAAGAGACCGACTTCTTATCACTCACGAATTCTGAATCAGCGGCGGGGATAAATTACCATTAGACCCAAGACCGAGATCAATTATCACGGGGCAATTTCGCCTTGTCCGAGAATAGAACATGCATCCACTAGAATATGGAAGACCGATATAGCATTCACCTAATATATGAACTTATTTGATGTTAATTTTTATATATGGAACGCTTTAGTCGGTTACAGTTAAAGGTTTCAAACGACTTGACTTTTGGATGGCCATTTTCATCTTTTACTTTCACGAATAAATTGCTGATTTATACAAAACTATTTTACGAAGCCACACATGGAATTGCAAAGATCTATGCAAAACATTCGTGTCTGGAATACATATAGCATATCCTAAATCTAGATTATTTCTTATCAATCTAGATTATTTCAGTTTCTATTGTTTGAGACATGACTTGGCAAACGCTTTTGTTACAATAATAATTACTATGCTGCTATTTGTTTTAAGATATGGAAAGCCACTGTCGTATCACACAGTCCCACAGAATGGGTCGTGAAAAACATGCCATGGGACGCTGATCTAAAGCCTGGAGAAGACTTAGTGATAGAATTCATTGGTCATATGTCAGGGGATCAAGCACCGCAATCAACTTACGTTATTGAAGGTAGGGGCGGTAACTCTGATGTTATAAGACATTATACAATGTAAAAACGCATTAAAACATTTGAAGTTTGCAGTTGATTAAATTGAAGATTGATGTATCGTGTTAAGTAAGACATGAGGTTCATTAATAGTGTTTATCGTAAAACGCTTTGAAACGCTACGGTTAAACATATTATTCATGATTATTTACGACAAAGATGTAAGTAAAAGTAAAACAAACGCTGCTTTCTTATTAACAGGAGCCGGAGCCGGTTCCAGTTCAGGCACAACTGGCACAGGCGGTACCGGAAGTGGTACCACTGGCTCAGCAACACAGGCACCTAACCAGGCAAATACCCAGCCACCTGCAGCTCATACTGGTAACCCAATAACTCCCGGAAGTTCTTCTACCGGAGGTAAACAAATTTAAACTTTCCTTTATTTTACATCTAAAATAATAATGATGATGATGATGATGTTGTTGTTGATAATGATGATGATGATGATAATTAATAATTAAATAAAAAGAAAAACCTGAATGGCCGAGCAATGCCCTTCAAATGTTGTATCCTATGGACTCAGGCTTTTAGTGTTTGATTGCTTAGGCATATGACGTCACAGTAAAAACAGTGATCCATAAAATCTGAAAATATAGAAAGGACTAACATTTATTATTAAATATATTTAGGATCGGCTATGAAGTACGATTATGGAAAAGCCCTCGGTCTGTCAATTCTGTTCTTCGATGCCCAACGATCCGGTAAACTTCCCGACAACAACCCAATACCGTGGCGCGGTGATTCCGCTGTAAACGATAATGACCAAGGTCATGACCTTAGCGGAGGATGGTACGATGGTAAGTCTGGTCTTAATTTTTATTTGTAAACATTAGTTTAGCATTTTTGGAGCCAATATGCTTACAAATTTACTTACGTAAACCTGGGTGGTGTATTTTAATGTCACGACTTACATTTATTACACCATGCAAACAAAGTAACCGAATGTAGTATCTACTCCCTCACCCCATCTTCCAGGTTATGACTAACGTTTCAACACTTTTGGAGCAAAGTAGGTTCTTAATTGCGACGTAAAAAGTTAGGTACGGTGACTCTTTCCCGTCTACTCTAGATATAAATAAAAATAATAGCAGAACATAAAAAGAGAATAAGTTATAAATAAATGTTCAATGAATTTTGTTAACATTTTTACCATCTGGTGAAACGAATATTCCTTGTCATTTTGTACATGTTTGACTGGTTTCCAGCCTACATTTACTACCCCATAACGTAGTGTAAGGGGAAGAAACTCCTGACTAAGTTCATGTTTTATTAACATTTTCATTCTAACTTGAAAGTGAAGTATGGTCTAACAACCTAGATACCTTTAAGCATTGTTTTAGACTAAACTTATAACTCATGCATACTCATGTAAATATTTTTTTTTCAGCCGGAGACCATGTTAAATTTAACCTTCCAATGGCTTTCTCCACGTGGGTGTTGGAATGGGGCATGCTAAAGTTCAAGGACGGATACCAGGCTGCAGGTCAACTTGACATGGCTTGCGATATGATAAAATGGCCGCTTGAATATTTCCTGAAATGTTGGGTTCCCAGTAAAAACACCTTATATGTTCAGGTAATGTTTTTAATTGTCAATATTCACTAGCGACTATGTCCACGAAAAATTACGTGTGTATGGGACTGATTTTCAGAAGCCATTAATTTCATACATTTATTAAGAATATTCATATTTTACGTTTATAGTTATACCTAAACGGAATGAATATTTTGACAAGTCATCCTTCAGTTGAATGTATGTTTTTTTCCGGATTTTTATTTGATGTAAGAGCAAAATTATTAAAAAAAGTTGGCGTGATATCCAAATATCCAAAGTTCTTTCACGATCAAGTTTGCTAACTAATTATGTTTTTCTTAGCTTCAACATCACATTTACACAGAGCTATTCAGTCAGTTTTGAATGTAATACAATTTCCTAATTCTAGCACATTTTAACACCTTTGTTTTTACTACAAAATAATTAGATCTATATTCAAAATCAAAAGCGATTAGATATTTCAAAAAGTCATAAATGTTTTCAATGTTCAGGTTGGTGACGGAAACAGGGATCATTCTTTCTGGGGTCGACCCGAAAACATGAACATGGCACGTCCAGCGTTCAAAGTAACGCCAAGTTGTAAAGGAAGTGACGTAGCAGGTGACACGGTGTCTGCACTGGCTGCCGGATATCTCGTGTTCAAAGATGTTTGTCAAGGTATTATGAGTCATTGAGTCACCATTCAATGACGTCTGCAAAAAAACGAATTTTACAAGATGTATCTTTTTTATATTTCTTTTAACAATTACATTGTATGACATTTAAAATATTACTTATATTTTACTAGTTTATTAAACCAGTATCAAGTTTATATCGAATATTCTAATCTATTGTTTGTGTGCTTTTTTCATTGGGTCATGGAAACAAATATTACTATGGACCTTGCTCGACCCTGGTCATGATTTGCGCTCTCGATACCAATTGCATTTTCAGTGCTCTCAGTACTTTGATTTTGAAAACATTTCTTTTTTTTAAATTATAGACACGGCCTTTGCATCGAAGCTATTAACTGCAGCTAAGAGTTTGTACACGTTCACAAAAAGCAACCGAGGAATCTACACGCAGTGTGTCAATGCTGCAGCCCAATTCTACAGGTTAAATGACATTTTGCTATCAGTGATCTCCCTGATCAGTAATACATATATTTGTTGTTTTTTTTTTCTAACAAAAATAAGATCTTGTTTTTCTTTAATTGTCAGTCGTTAGAATGACTTTATTGTCAGTTAAAATGACTTAATAACGTAGTAAACAGAAAACAATTATAAGTTTATACAATTTAAAGAATTAAAAAAGGGAAAGGGCCTTTGTCCGTAGTGTTAAATGGTAAGTTGATGATTTTTTTCCAAGTTTTCCTTTTAACGATTTGTTCACCTTGATGTTAATATTTCGTTTAAATAAAGTCGTATTTTGAAGTGGAGCATGCGCATCACATTTTTACACTGGTTCTAATGATTTTAGGCTTTAAATGAGATTTACTACTCAAATGGATGCAGCTGGCAATCAATTGGAGGTCTGCTTATCTCTCCAGTAAAAGACCATAAACTAATGCACAACTGCATAACTTAATATTAAGGGTTGTTATAATTTTAGCTCGAGCGGAGAGAAGGATGAAGTGGCCACTGCGGCTGCGTGGATGTACAAAGCAACTCAAGAAGACAAGTACCTGACCGACGCCAAATCCCTGTATCCTGCTGGAACACCTTGGGGTTTTGCTTGGAATGATGCCAACTCTGGGGCCGCTGTAAGTGTCCTCCTTTGATCTTTAAAATACTTGTTACACAGTACATGAAAAAAACACTTTTACCTGTCTTGCAAGCTAAAAATTCAATTTGAAGGATCAACAAATCGTAGAGTTTTTGCAGATTATCTCTTAAAACGAATTTATTTTATAATAATTTGATAACGAAAACAGTTTTAAGCTTTTTTTAACCTTATTTTGGACCAGTGAAAAGAGATGATTTAAGAAGAAAATTTACGTTTGATTTTAGTTGTTGTTGTATGAAGCCACAAAGGATGATACCTATAAGAGAGACATAGAAGCATTTGTAAAGAGCTACTTGCCAGGTGGCGGTATCCAGACCACGCCCTGTGGACTTGCCTGGAGGGACCAGTGGGGACCTAATAGATATGCTGGTATGGGGCTCTACATTTATATGTTTCTTTTATTGGAATTTATAGAGATTATTGGAAATACGGAACTAGGCCCTTTCATGTCAATGGGGAAAATTAAAGACTCGGTTCTACCGTTATATCATATGATAATTATATTAAAATTTTTGATCACAAAAATGTTCATTAATTTTCATTTGGCTAGACAATAAATACGTGTAAGTTAATTAAACGTTTTAAACGATTACCCCCCCCCATGCAACACAGATATGTTTATTGGTTTTCCCTTTTAAATCATCAAATAACATAACACCCCTGCCACCCTCGTAAAATGAAATGTATTAAGATAAGGAGTATTGTATCAGCTATTGAAATTTAAACGCTTAGTTCAAAACTTTAATTATATCAAGTGTCCGTTTTAGACGAAATTACATTTTCTTCCAGCGAACGCAGCGTTTATCGCAGCTATGGCCGCCGAGGAAGGTATCGAACCGGATTCCTTCAAAAACTTTGCCATGAGTCAGATTAACTATCTCCTTGGTGATAATAAGTATCACATGAGTTATGAGATAGGTTTCGGTTCCAAGTTCCCTCAACATCCGCATCATCGAGGAAGGTATGACATTGTTTATTTCATTTATATTTATAAACTGGGGCTACAGAATGTTTTCATACATGCTTTAAAATAATTTATTATACTGCAAACAAGGGAATAGAAACTCTGAATAAATTATCATATGATATTGCACGGTTTTAAGTATATAAATAATAATAATAATAATAATAATAATAATAATGATGATGATGATGATGATGATGATGATGATGATGATAAAAATAATAAAATTAAGAATACTGCTCATCATCATCATCAGCAGCAGCATTACAATCATCATAATTATTATCATCGCCAGCAGCAACAGTGTTGTCGTCGTCATCATCATTATCATTATTTTCAAAATAATCATCATCACCATCATCATCTAAATCGCCATCATCACTATCATTGCCATTATCATAATCATTATCATTGTCATCATCATCATTATCATCATCATCATCATCGTCATTATCATAATCATTATCATTGTCATCATCATCATTATCATCATCATCGCCATTATCATAATCATTATCATTGTCATCATCACTATCATCGCCATTATCATAATTATTTTCATTGTCATCATCATCATTATTATCATCATCATCATCGTCATTATCATAATCATTATCATTGTCATCATCATCCTTATCATCATCATCATCATCATCATCATCGCCATTATCATAATCATTATCATTGTCATCATCACTATCATCGCCATTATCATAATCATTATCATTGTCATCATCATCATTATCATCATCATCGCCATTATCATAATCATTATCATTGTCATCATCATCATTATCATCATCATCATCATCATTATCATAATAACCATCTTCTTCATCGTCATATTATTATTTTCATTATCATGATTTCAATATTTTAAACTTGACTATATAGATGTGTATTTTCTGCAGTTCTTGTCCTACAACAACCACACAGTGCAGCATAGGCGATCCAGGTCCGAACCCCAACGTCCTCAAGGGTGGTCTAGTAGGCGGTCCTGACAATGGTGACAACTATGACGACAGACGTGACGATTATGTGAAAAATGAAGTCGCGTGCGATTACAACGCTGGTTTCCAGTCGGCCCTAGCAGGTAAATTTTGACCTCCATCTCGATTCGCTGAATAATGAGTTGTCCATATTAAACTTTAAGTAATTTATCATTATTGGGGCTCTCACTGAATAAGTTACAAAAGTTATAGTCATCTGTAGAAAAATAATGAAATTCGTGGTCAAGGTCATTTATGAGTTCAGGTCAAACTGAGTTTAATCTTCTTTACAATATTGCCCTTAAGGTAGTTGCGCTTAAGTATGAAGACAGTCAATTCATAGCAATAATCAAGCAAATTATTTTCCAACATTTGACCTTGAAGGTCATCTATGAGTTAAGGTCAAAAGTATGCACAGCTTATGGGGATTAAAAATAACGATCATCGTAGTCAATGCATTTTAATAGTACTTTTATTTTCTTATGCATTATTTCTTTTTTTCAAAATGATTTTGTTTTTCCGCAGAAGAATCATTATTGTTAATGTTTAACTATGCTTTCCGATTTTTCAATGTAAATTAATAATTATCGTACGCCACAGGACAATAAGGGAAATAAGGGCAGTTTTTTGGGAGAAAGCAAAAATGACAATCGGTGACGTTTCCACGGTTTTCCTACTTTTATCTTTCGAGCCGTCACAAGAACACTTGTTAATCCACTAAAATGAGCACGTTTGAAGTATGACATTATTTTGTAAATGGCAAAACATGCGCACAGTTGAATGCACTGTCTTCCAAATGAGAAAATAAAGTTTTGTTTGTCAGACTTGAATAAAAGTTAACATTTGTATTTTTTGTATTTTCATATTTTTCTCTCTTTTATTTTCAGGATTGCGACATTTTGCAGCAAACAATGCTCTGCCACCAGCACCAACATCTAAGTGTTGATTCCATTTCTAATATTACATTTGTTTTATTTATAAAAAATGATTACACGTTGAAATACAAATTGTTTTAAGGATATAAGACTTGTTGAATTATTTTGGTAACACATGTATCCGTCTGAAATGATCAATTTGAATCTCTTGCTACCACAGGTGTAACGATTTAAAAGAACTATACTAGTACAAACTTCATTCAGACAAGAACAAATCAAAGGCGATTTTATGAAACCTATTGCCGTTTTTTTTTCAATTAGAGTTGAGAAAAACAAATAAAGGTAAACACGATGGAGGAGGCTTCTTGTGAAACACATATTTTTGTGAATTTGAACATTTATTAGTTGGAACGATAGTTCTGGACTAGTTGGGATAGATTCAAGTTGTTTATGCAAATATTTTAGACGACTATTTTCGTGGGATCGTACGTCAAAATAACACCAGTGTCCAAGGTTATAAATAATTTATCTGAGCTCAAACTTACAGCAACATGGTCTTACACTTAAACGCCGCTAACAACTCATGGCAGGTATTATAATGTTCGGAATGTTATGTTAATTTGCATTCATATGGGAAACCTACTCTTTATTATTATGATTATCATTGATATGTTTGCAAAAAGCATGCCCACTAAAGAATTCACATCTCGATCGTTGCTGCACGTACAACTTTAAAACATAAGATATAGCACGTGGATGTTGCCATTAAACGAAATTATGGTAATTGTGTTAAGTTTGTTTAGTATATCTAGTCTAAAATTCTCCAAAACCATTATCTAAACATAGAATTCGTGGTTGCCCTTTCTAAAGAAATACAAATGTATTTGTTTCTTAGGGCATAATGCGCCTTTAATGTCATTGCTTTAAATTTACCTTTAAATCCAGGAAGAGCAACATACGAGGGTTATCCAATTATATGCAAGACTGTCTCAATAATGCTAAAACTACATAATAAATTTCAGTGAATCTGTGCACAAATGCTAAGCTAAAAAAATTAATAAAATAGAAAAAAAAAATAAAACAAGAAAAAAGAATGTATGTTGCTCTTCCAGTTCTCGTTTCCATTTCAACGTTCATCTTATTTAGTAAACATTAATGACTTAGTCGCAATAAGGATATATCATTATATCATACAGTACTAGTTTACCCCCCGTTCACTTATAGACGCCGCTTCTACTACGACCAAAGCGTGGCCGAAAACGTGGCCGATCGTTGCAAATCGCAGGAGAAACGAAGTGGAGTCTTCATAAGCGCAGTATGATCGCGGTAGCGTCTTCATGATCGGAAAACTCTACGCTCTCGCCACGTTTATTTTGAACGTGCTCAAAACAAGCGTAGCGAGATCGTGGCCAACAAAAATCGGGGTAAAGCCGTAAAAAGAGCGTGGTAGAAGCGCCGTAATCGTACAAGGAGCGCGGAAGCATCGTGGATAGTTCTTCATGATCGCAGTAAAAGCGCAGTAAAAGCGTAGTACAGCCGGGAACATACCGAGTACGCTTCTACAACGTTCCCACTATGTTCTTACTACGTTCCCACTACGATCTCTCTACGTTCATGACGATCCTACGAAAACCTACCATGACCTTACGACGATCATACCACGACCTGTCAGGCAGCAGTTTGTTTTATAGCGCTGCTATTTGATCAATCATAATCTGCCAACTACATATATAGGGCGTCACTTTACTTGACGATCATTTGCAGCCGAGACTTCGAACATCTTGCAACAGTTTGAAAAAAAAAATTAAAATGCCCCGTAAACCACGTGGTAAAGGCCGTGAAAAAACTGAGGTTGCAAACTCTGAGACTATAGAACTTGAAAATCTTGCAGCAGAAAATCCCGAAGCCGGGAAAGAACATGACGGGCCTTCGTCTGTGGAAGCTGAAGCCCTTCCATCCACAGAAGATCAGCATTAATACGTCCGTTCATGTTTGAAGTTTTGAAGTTAATGAAACCCAAGATATATATATCATCGCCAAAATCGTACCAGAAGCGTACTACAAGCGTGATATGATCGGCACCGTCGTAGCGATATCGTCGTACAGTCTTCTAGGTCTGCGTAGCGTCGTAGTGCGAGCTTGAATGTCATAGCGGCAGCGTAGTATAAACGCAGTAAACGCGGCCGCTGGTCGGCATTGGTCAGCGTAACATTGTAGTAGAAGCGTGTCAGCAGCGCGTTGGACGAGGGAACATCGCAGTACAGTCGTAATGAAGACCAACATTTTCAAATCGCTCGATTTCGACGCCGATCGGCCCCGATCGGCCCCGATCCAATACTTTTTCAGATCGTGGCTTGATCGTCCTAAAGTCGCAGCTCTGTGTGAACGGGGGTTAACAATAAAGAGATACTATACCCATTCAATGTAAGAGTGGTGAGTGCAAAGCTAAACGTTAAAATTACTTTACATTTTGTCTTGATTATGTTCAGTATGCAAATATAATCACGTTACCCACTAACATTTCTATCAATATCGTTTGGAATGTATCGGAAATGGCAGACTTTTTGAAATAGTTATTTTTTTATTTTATCCATAACACTTTTTTAATTATCAATTATTGGTCAATCACCATTTTAATAGTGAATGTTTTGAAAAATATTACTACTCAGCTTAACTAGACAGCGAGCATACACGTACTACCATGTGATATGGTTTTTTGTATATGCCGAACAAAGTAAAACAACAGCAACAACAACAACAATTAATTTTATTTAATCTCGTCAAAAATAATTTCATTTAATCTCGTAAAACACTCGTCTGCTTTCCTGTGAACACTGATCAATACGACAGCACGAATTGAGTTACTCGTTGCATGTATATAAGGGGGGTAATCACTGTCTAATTTTACAAGAAAATTTGAAACAGTTATTTGCCCGTCGGTATATTTAAAATATCGTACGTTTGTCGGACGCATATCTATGCTTGTCCATATTTATGAAAATATTGGTAATGTTTTTTAATAGTCATATTGTTCATTTTTTAGATAATATTAGCACAATTTATCCGGTGGTTTGTCGTGGTATTTTTAGCTATATCGCCAAAAGCTTGAAAATCGTCATAACCACAATGGAGAAGAACTCCATTGCTCATTACATTATATCGTAAGTATTAAGGACTGGTACCTTTTAAATACGAATGGATAAAAAGTCGGAATAGCTCAATGGTAAAGTACACCCTTGACATGCTTAAGGTATATGGTCCGATCAAATTAAGTTCCCATACGGTGACCATTTTGAATATTTGTTTGTTCAAAAAGTCAAGCATTTCTGACCTTTACTGGGAAATAATTGATATATTTATACATTCGGCAGTGACAAATGTTCCGAAAAAACCTGAATAACTGATAAATCAAAATAGAATTGTTCCAAAATTGATCACAGGTACCCGTGTCTGCTAAAACTGTCAGTATGAGTGCATATACAATGAACCATTAGCTTTAATCGAATACAAATGTAATAATGTTAATAATTTATTTCTTTAGACTTAAGAACAACATGACGGTGTTCAAATTTGTTAATCTTAAACGCTATCAAGTTAACTTTATTCTTCTTTTCTTGGGTTTTCTACAATTTCAGAAGACCAAATGGAGCGGGAAAGTAATATTAGGTTTTTCAGTAGAAATGGTTTTAGCTGTTGTAATGACTTGGTATTAAGACAATTTTTTTTATCTCAAAGTTTTTTATCAAATGGTGTCAGCTTAGGCCTCTTTCACGTTTGACATGGGTTACACTCAGCCAACAGCAGAATAAAAAAACATGTGAATGAATTAGATCAATTCATACTGACAAATATCATTATCGCGAATATCAACATTTTATTTAAAAGCGATTCATGAATTAACGAGTTTTAAACAAAACACATTCCCCTTTCGTTTCTGTAATAAATTAGATCTATCCTATAGGTCAGCATCGCGAAAATATGTGACAGATAATAATTTTGTGTCTAAAACTACAAGCTCCGTAGAACCACAATAAAAACGATATACGGTCATTATGTTTAAAGAAAGGTACCTCCGGTCATAATATTATGAACCGGATACATATAGATATATGAAAAAACACGATAAAGCAGCAACAGCATCAACAACAGCAATTAAGGGAACAACAACTCGAAACAACAGACTTTCCGCCGCTCTTATTATAGTCGGTTGAATTGGAGTCACGCTTTATGATGCAGTTTGTTCAAGTAAATATCTCATAGATTCAAGGTCATTGTCACTAATTATTGATCATCAAACCCAACACGGAGAAATCTTTAGTGGTAAAACAATATCTACTATCACCTATTTTTTATTATACATGTTTTTTTTCCTGCGTAACGTGATGCAGAATTCTTAAAGACGCCGTCAAATTTTGACGTTTATTTCACATTGTTGTAATAAATTTCAGTTAAATTACTCAAAATAAAAATCCAAATCTATATCGAACAATGATTTGAAAACATAATGACTAATTGATCGAATTTTATTACGCCGGAAGTGATGAAGCGAACTCAAAGCTTCCGTAGATAAATTTTCAACAAATTTTATTAAGAGCATAGTCGTTGCAAACGTGAAAATTCCAAAAATCTATTTTTAGATGCGTGCCAGGGTATTTTTGCCATTTCTGTCTTTTTTCTTCAGACCTACGCAGCGGTGTTCTTATGATATATATACATGTAGGGCCTATGACATTTTCGACATGCAAAGTCACGTGATGTGAAATAAATTTCTTCCGGTTTCTACATTTATTCTTATCAGCGATCTTGTATCATTAGTCACCAATCCTTATGAATGACACTTTTTTAACGTTACATTATTTAAATACAATACAATACTGAATGCAAGGTTATATTTGTAATTTTATCAGCAAACAAGAAACTGTTTCACAAATTGTTTACCCTTGTTTTGCCCGGAACCATTTAATCAGTCTAAATTTTGTCAGATGTCGCATGATTCAGTTAAAAAGGTGACTAATGATAATTAACTGATTTACCTTGATAAGTTATCGGCAGCTAGGATTGAAGCAAAAATAAATTATACCAATTTACTTAAAAGACGTCTTAAACATTAATCGCAAGACTTCCTGTTTGGAGCCACCTCTCCCCCTCCATATGTGCGGAACAATGTTTTCATATAAAACTTACATAAACTACAAAATATTTATTATCCTGAAACTCCTTACAAAAAGTATAAAAGATAAAGAAAATTGATACAATATTATTCAAGACATAATGAATAATGTTCTGATTACTTTGTAAAATTCAACGTTTTTTGTGTGTCTTATTTAGACCGTTTGGATAAGTTAAACAATAACAAACATGACAAACAACATTTTTCTTCAATTTTTTTAATTATTTCGAATTCTTTTCTGATACTGTTGTAAGAGGCAATGTACAAATGTATATCAGATGTTAAATTATCATAAAGAAAATAATTTATTTATTTCAAATGAAAGGGAATGGCCAGACAGTACCATTCCTCAATTTTCAAGCGTTGTCGCCCTCATACATTATGTTTTTAAGTATATTATACACAAGAAACAAGGCAGTAAACATTAAGTAGAAGTTTAAATGAAGTCTTTGTTTTTTTACAATATTTGAATGCTGATTGCTTTGAAAAAAAATCATTGGCCTATCTTAGCTGAACGTAAACGCATTTGTACGCCAGAATATTCATCACATGTTGTTTTGACCATGTACATTTACAATGATATCCTTCATCTGTCTGCCATGTTTCACAGATTAAATTCGTTTAATAATCTTTTGTTGCATGCTTTAATCGTCTGCTTGCTCCATTTTGAAACCTACAATTAATTATTCCCATGTAATAACTTCCTTTACTTTTTGACTATTCAACCAAAAGATATTTAAGACGCAAAAAGCACTCGATTGGGTGCGAACAACTCAATTTTCTGGGTGTTTTAGTCACTCTGGTGAGTGATGCCCCACGAATCGCCTTTCGTGGTGAACCTCGCAAAAAAGAGGTTGAATCGAGAAAACAAAATGGCGGCCATTTTATTTTTTTTAGGAAAAAAAACCCCCACGTGACCAGATTTTATACCGTTAAAAGTACTGTTACCCATGTAACAGTACAAATTTCTAAGTCACAGGGTAACTTGCTATAGTGGCCTAAGGGAAATTAACATTACAATAAATGTGATGGGTAATAATAAACACTATACAGTCGCAACAATATCACCAATCACTATTATATGACTATCGAAATATTGCTGCTCCTTTAACTTCGAAAGACCTCGCTGATTATTCCTTATTAGAGCCCATCCGGAGACAGACGGTATAGCCGGTATGTGGTTATTGCTCGCAGATGATGCTATTCGGCCAAACGAATTCTTACTTTCCTGCCATTGAAGCAAATAAAAAAATCTTCCAGTTGCAAAAAGACCTCTCGCATGCTTGTTTTTAAAGAATCACACTCGTTATTATAAGACTTGATGATATAGTTTACTTATGAACCTTATCATATATTTAGATATACAATCTAAGGTGTTCAAAGGGAACATTAGTTCTGATGTGAATCTCTCAAACAATAAAGAAGTTTTTTTTAAACAATGTGGATAAAATTAAGGAAGATACATCGGAAGTTAAAAGTAAATCCCACATTAATCACAAGCTAGAGATGTTCCATCCTCGTGCGAGGCGTAAGTTAATGGTAATCTGCCTCTCACCGCTGATACAGATTTGTATCGGTAACTTGCTGTAAAAACTGTTATTAATGGAAAGCAAGCGAAGTGGATCGGCCGACGAAATGTGAAAAAACAAACCTGACTGTTAAAATCAGCATAAAACAGGAAAACCAACAAACAAAAGTTCGTGCAATGTACGGTTCATGCGCATATTTATCAAAGCACGAATGTGTTTATTACTTATTGATAAAAGCTACCTACAAACCTTATCACGAACTTAGGTCTACAATTTTATCTCATGTTTTTATTTCAAAATGCCTATATGTAGCTTTCACCAGGAAGTCTGCTTAACATTTTTATCAGATGGGGTTCTCCCGTAATTGATAAATACTAGTCAAAAACATATAAAAGGAATGCATGCACTGGTCCAACAGGCATAGCTTTGAAGATTTTGTTCTGAACCTACACTGGTAATGAATAAAGAATTTCTTTAAAGAAAACTATTAACATTTAGAGCAAAGAACAAGCAGCATATGTTTTTACGATACAAATGGTGCTTTTAAAACATTCAGCAATGTTGCAGTTTGGGATGGCGATGGTACTTATATTTGGTAAGCATAATTTTGTACAATATACAATTTTATGTAACAAAACATTAAAACAACCAGTTAATTGATAAAACAAATCGTTGATGTTTTTTTTCAAAGAAATATATTTACATAATTACGATTTTGTTGATTAATTATGACATGTATCATTGTATCATTTATCTCTCTCCATGTTGCAATTTCTCCAATAAACCCGAGTCTGCAATTTTAACTTTTAAACTTTACTCTTATTGTTCTCAAATTATCTCGTCTTTTCCGCATTTTTAAAAGTTCACATTTGGCAAAAAATCTTTTCACTTTCAGACATGTTGTCATTTCAATTTGTTTTAAATTTAGAGCTTACACATCAACAAACACTTTCTATATTTTCAAGCAGGGCAACTAGACAACACATTTGACTCGTTTACATCAATAGCATGACACGCTGAACAATTGTGAACGTAATATTGTATAATAGAACTGAAAATAGGAAACTTTTTATGTTAAGTTATTTTTGCTTGAGTAAATAGCGATAGCAATAAAGCAATATAATAAGTATTTAGCTTAAAAGCCTAGATATTGTTCATAGGTTTCTTCGAATATTCTTGTAGCGACCAGGTTCATGAGCTAACCGATGTCAGAAGAAGAGGGCCTTCGTATGTAATTAAATCGTCTTCCGAGCCTGCTATATCCGACTCTACACTTGCGTCTGGATGGTACGTTGCTAAGGACAGTGCTCGATTCTACACGCTTGTTAATGGAACGGCACCTGCATTCGCACATTGTGGAACTGTTAATCCGATATATATCAAAGGTAATGCATCACTGGCAACATCATACAATTTTAATCTTCCGTTGTTTTTAATTTATTTTAATAGAATCAAATTAACAAGATATGAAGCATAGAGGAATTTTCTGATGCATTTCACGACAATAGATAATCAAATGTACAGTTGCAAATCGATTTTTAATACAAAAAGCTAGACATAAGTAAAGTGATCTCTTTTCACGTGACATATAAATGTAATTACCGAAATGATGAGCAATCCTACTTTTTCAAATGTAGATACGGTTGGAAAGCTTGAGCAGGGTAAAGAATATCCACTTACCGCATGCTTGGTTAATTTTGATAATAGCTGTGAAGAGAGTTATAAAATAAAAATTCGCAAATGCGGACAGGAAATTCAGTACTATCTACTTCCAACAGATGGGACGAGTGCTTACTGTTTTGGTATGAAACTATTTGTAAATACTTGATGAATGAACTTTTTATAACACTAAATAAAGCATCTTAGATTTGAAGCACATTCTATTTTACAAAATCAACTTTCTTTGTAATTATTATACCAAAAGATTGCTATTTGTTTAATAATCAAAAAGGAAATTGTGTCACAATTTTGAAATTTATAATTGTTTATTGTAAAATATAGATATATGAACTATTTACATATTTCACGCTATTTATGCTAAATACAATAAATTTTGTTTGCAAGTAATCTTATATAAAATAAATGCTATATTAATTTCTTTCAATATTCTATCTTTTTACAGAACCGACGTCTTTGGCTGGTGAGTAAATATTTACTTTTATCGTAACATGTAAAAGGTAGACAAATTTATGCTTCAACCTCATCATTTACATATTTAAAATCATAATCGTTCCAGCGCTGGTTATTTGACTATAGTTACAGTACTGTAAAGTGGTAATTGATACACATAAATTGTTTGAAAATACCATTTATTTCAGTTGAGGCACCCGCACCTAACTACAAAATTCCCGATAACATCCTAGTAAGTGTAGCATTGATGTACAGACGTACAAAGCTAAGTTCTGAACCGGAACTTGACTTCAAATGTAATTTTGCATCGGCAAGCACTCTATATTACTATGAAGTCAGCTGGTAATAGTTTAAGCTTTACATTTTTTTATTGTATAAGAAATATAAATAAACGATTATAATAGATGTTTACAAACTTAAACAATGCTTTCCGAATGGTAAACAATGGCTAATGATAGACTAAGTATTCAAATGCATGATTATTGTGTAAGTTTGGTCGTTTTTATAAACGTAAATACCCCTTGTGGTTTAAGTGTTGAGGCATCAGCATTGCAGTCACCGTTTATCCTTGCGTGATCGTTAGAGGCCATAAATGGGTTGGATAAATTTATCAATTTTTGGAGTATGTGATCCAGCAGGTGAGATGGTTTTGACTGTTGGTGTAGCTTTAAGCTTGGAAGCCGAGGTTAGCTATAATGATCATCTTTCATGTTTCGCCATACAACCTAAATCGCAGTAATAGCCACCACACACACGCATGCACACGCGCGATGGCGCGCACACACATACACGAAATTAACCGAAATAATATCGTTAAATATCACAAATATCTCTCTTGCATTCATAATACAAAGGTCGGGATAAGTATTCTACCTGATGGTTCGGCAATGTGATTCCTTGGCACAATCTACAAAAAAACAAAACAAATGTTATTCAAAAAGACAGTGATCAGTCTATTGTATTTAATCCAGATACCGATTAAAATGTTAGACAGACCTAGTGTCATTTTGATTAATGTTACAGGGTAGTCTCAAAAGAATAATTAACTTTTAACATTTTCATATTTGTTTTCAAGACATCATGTATTTAATCAGTTATCGTAATAATTAATGACATTTAATAATACCTTAGCATTCTTTTAAGGGTTATTAATGGGCGAATCGAGAAGACATTTTCACCAGTGAAAATACATGGTGTAGATGGTACAAACCTTAATGAGACGTCTATTCGCAGCTTGGGATTCAAATTTGGAATATCAGTAAGTATTATATGCAAAACGACATGCATGGAAGTAGAAAAAAAATGTTTCTATACATCGATGCAATCATGAACTATGGTTACTTTTTGACTATATGATCGATATTAAAAGAAACCGTGTTTTTTTTTCAAAAATAATAAATAGCACATGAAAATTATGTAAGAAACTAACAGAAATTGACAACTTTGTAGTAAAATTCAAAAGCTACAGAAATTAATTACAAGGTCAGCTTTCGTGAACATTTGTTCGTTTTTGGCTTCATAAAATTATACTGTTCCGAAGGGTAAATTATTTATTTCATACAAAATGCGGTTCTAATCTATTTGATTACACTTGTACGGTAGATCACTTTTAAGAAACTATTTAGTGTTTTCAGTGCTTACAGATGAATACCAATTTTTTCAACGACTTTCTTTTTTTCCACTTTTTTGTGTTTCGACAAAGGATTTTTACATTAAAGCCATGTATTACACTGACTTAAAACGAATAACGATAAAAATGTCTTCTGTTTATTTTCTTTCATTTGTTGCCAGATTCAATGCGCGGTAAGAATATCAAGTACGGTTACGGGGAACCAGACAAACCCACAAATGAGTGATAAATTCTATGCTGGTATAAAGGTTAGTTTTCACGATAATTTAAACGATGTATCATAGTGTATTACAGCAACCATAAGTTATATTAGTCAATGATTAAAATGAACTGTAACGAAATTATTTAGAACAAAATAAATTGTTCTACTTGTAGGTGTAGTTTAAACTTAGATTTGTTTAAAAACTTAATTGTAGTTTTAAAACTCTTTTACGACTATTTTAGCAAACCTTATTTCTATGGAGATGTGGTTTACAAACTTCGTAGGATCATGGGTCATAGTATTTTTCTGCCGTCTTCACTTAAATTATCAAACGGTTTATTAAAAATGTTATGACACAATTATTTTAAGGCATACGCATGCTTGGTGTTCAACCCTTTTACAGTTGGACGCTTCGCTTTTCTCCTTTAATTACATCTGACGGACTAAGTGGGAGACTCTATGATGGACAGTTCTTAAAGCCCTTTGGGACTGAATTGTCTTAATGTTCGCCTTCTATCTTGCTTCGTAGGTGATTTTCTTGTTGTTCTGCCTTTCTTTAAGGCATCGAGTACTTTGGTAATGGTCAATTGGCTGTACCTTTTTCTACATATCTACACAATCTTTTATGTGTTTAATTTATTTCGTCTAATGTAAACATGACCATTGTTAGAATTTCACTTGGCGGGGATTAATTTCATTTACACTTTTGTGTCATTCAGGAACATATTGAGACTAAGAGTGAGGTTTGGCACGCCTAAAACCGGTTTAAACTCCCCAGTGGTTTAATTACAACTGACCGTTCCAAGGTGGTACTCCTCTGTGTTCCTTTACGTGTTTTTCATGTCTGTATTGTTATTTTTTTTAATGTTTACATGTTTTGTGATGTCTGCCTTGTTGGATTGTGGTTTACGGTAGGTATTTTCTCACTCCCCCTTCCCATTTTTTACCCCACTCCCCTTTTCACCCTTACAGCCCTTATTCCCATATGGGCCCGTTTTATTTTATATTTTTTCACACATTACATGTCCCTCTCCTTTCGCCGCCCCTATGTCCACTCCAGGTTTTTGTTGGGTGCCCTACTGGGGTGTGTCGGGGGCTGCGTCCTGTGAACGTTGCCTTTGCCTTGTTGATCTTTGTTCTTGTTTTTTTAGCTTCAGATCCCAAAACTTTCACACAATTAATGTGGTGGGTTGGCTTATGATCCACTTTTATTTCTATCTCTAGTTGTCACAACTGTTTTTATTTGTGAAACATAAACCGGTTAACAAAGATTTTACAGTGCTTTATATTTTTCCTTTTTCATTATAGCTGTTTGCAGCAAATTAAAGATAAAACATTTATATGTAGTTTGTTGATTTTGGATTATCCATTATCCTTTTATGTCTATTTGCAATATTTGATATGTGATTCTTTTTTCAATACTGCCAATAATGCATATTACAAAATTTATACAGTCAAACTTAAAACAAGTTAAAGGGAAGACATCTAAATAAGTACTGTAACATTTAAGATGCCCTTCTGAAGAGACATCAATATAAATATGCTTATAATGTAATTAAAAAACAACAACAGTTTTTCCTTATCTGTAAGAAATTATTATGTCATTGTTTTGAAGAAACATCATTATCAACATGCTTATAATTCAATTTCTATGTTTACAAAATATTTCTTTTTCCTATCTACAAGAAATTATTATGTCATTGTTATGCATGTATTGCTAACATTTCTATATGTACCGGAAACTTAGAAAAAAAAAACATATGCTATTTAACCAGTTTTATGGGCGAGTATCTTTTGTAAAGATACTTCTTGTTTTCAATGATTGAAGTATCCATTTAAAGTTAATCTGTTTTGACATTGATATATTTCATCTTTTCTCGATGTTTTATTATTAATGTTTATTTTGCATCCTTACAATTATGTGAAAGAAACTCGGATAACAATAAATAATGAGATTATATGTTTAAAATTGTTTTCGTTATCAAAAGAGTTCTGTTGAAGAATATGTGATTTCAATATTGCAAGAGTTTTGAACACTGATACCCTGACATTTCAATAAATAATATAAAAAAAAATGAAGTGAATGATAGATCACAAAAAGTAAAGTGATAACATGAAAGTATAGAAGCTGCAACACAATTTTCACAAAGTACAAGTATTTCTTCTTTCAGTCTTTTTAAATCCTATTATTGTGATTTATCTTATCCCGTTTTATATGATTTAAGATCCTTACACCACAACTAACTTTGTCAAGCGGGTCATCAAGCTATATCACAATGCAACCAACTATTCCTCTTGGATGCCGAAGGCCATTCGTCTTACCGTCCGGAATACAGGAACCATGTGAGCTTGACATTGAAATGTTTGATCCGAATTCTAAATATACGGTAATAATTTTATGCATTTTATAAATTCTAGAAATAATTTCGTTGAAATTAGAATAACCATAACACACTTTTGTCCGATTGGTCCAACAAAATAGGCGCAAGTACTTGCTTTTTATTAATAAATAAGATATTTTTTTCAATTTTATTTTGTTTTCGTAAACAATATTACTATGATTGTTTTTCATTTTTTTTAAAAAGGTTGTACAATGTACAAAATCTATGTATGTCCTTTCCAGTGCCAGGAAACAGCTGTGGTTTCCTTAGATAACCAGAAACTGTGCGGAAGTAGAATAACTGGGTGGCTGAAGGAAACATCACACACCTGCATGCACCAACACGATGTTAACTACTGTAGTTACAACAGAATGTTGCAAAGACTCACATCTTACCGAATGGACATTTCAGTGTCAAATGATAGACTTCAATATCCCAAAGACAAGACTTTCACCGTACAGTTAAAAACTGCAAATATTGCTCCACACATTTTGGAAAAACGCCAGTCTAGACCATGTAACGGTATGATTTATTGCATTCATTGTTTTATCGAGACCAGTAAACACAACAAAATCTGTTGATCAGAAATTTCATTTGTTCACGTTCATATGCTTTCTTCTTATCATTATTTTACTGATTGTTTACGGAGTAATGAGCAATTTCAAAGTTTATATAACACAATTATAATATATAATATATTTTGATAGTCTTTATGTTTGCAATTATTTAGCGTTCTCGACACAAAAAACAAAAAGGCACATATTAACCCTATCCAGTTTTACTATTTTGAATGCGCAATTCGCTAACAGTAACTTTCACCTGCTTCCATTTAAAATTGATATTCATATATGTATTGTTTTCTTCATAAGAAACAAATGCACATGTCATAAGGTACATACATATGTTTCTGTAACGTTACAAAAACTAGATTATATATTCATATACTTGTCACAAAAACTAGCATTTCTTTCAATCTTATATTAAAATCATACCAAATGTATTTTTCTTTAAGATTAAGTATAACGGAGGAAGTGAAAACCTTGAATGGAGAGAAAAGGAATGTTCGGTTATAAATGATCCTTTATTAAATACATTTGATGGTCCAGGGTCCTATATTGCACCATTTGCGCATTATCTGATGTATAAAGACAAGATACACCTGGCGGAAGTACAAATAAAAATTCAAAATTGTGATGCTGACTTTAGCACGATTTCATCATGCACATGTGCAGCTGCAATTCAAGCGGGGGGGGGGGGGGGGGGGGGTGATGTGTTTGTGGTCGATGTATGCCACGCAGTTAAACGAGCATCATTTGTCCATTGTCGTGGAAATGTACTGAATGTAAGAGAGATAGACAGCAACACTTATCAGGTCTGTCATTATTTTTTAAATTATTTGTTTGTTTGGTTTTAATTATTGCAAAAAAATTAAATAAGTAGCAGTGTAACGAAGTGAAATGATCCCCATAGAACCCCCATGTAATATTATTATAAAAAAGAATATTGATGCCTGTCTGTCTCGTAATCCACAGATCATGGTTCAGAACATTACTAGACTCACGACTATGTTTTTTTCCAATAAAATAGATAAATACAGAATCCCTAAAGAAAGCCCAACACGGCAAAATTGAAAATGTTGCAGACTCGGTTTGATTGAGCCTGTTCATGGACGGTACTGGAAAGTGCAAGTTACCGTCCACGCCCCCTAGCACCGGCTTAAGCAGAATTCAACATTTAACATGACCTGGTAAAATTTAGAATTTGAAACATCCGCAGATGTGTTCATATGGCGGTTATCATGGAACCTTCAATGTGACACGTTAGTGCCATTCCATGAAAAGTGGCATATGGTCCCCAAGTAAAAAAATGCGTGTGCCCTAAACGAGAAAACAATGGGCCGAACTAAATAAAATTGAATTTTGAAAGGGGATCTGAGGTTATGAAGCCTGCGTATCACAGATATGACGTCAAAAGGACAAATTTAAAAAGCAGGCTACATATCCTAAGGGTGATTCAACAGTATTCAAGTGAGGAATACTGGAACCACCCAACTAGAAAATGCCGAAAGTTGAAACTAAAAATACCACAAGCACAACAATAATGTCGTGCTGAACGATCTTTAAGGATCGAAAATATAACATCATTGATTAAATGTACGGGAAGACTTTTTACAGCCGCCACACGGCACAAATAACACGGATGTGATCATAAAATAGATAAATACAGAATCCCTAAAGAAAGCGCAACACGGCAAAATTGAAAATGTTGCAGGCTCGGTTTGATTGAGCCTGTTCATGGACGGTACTGGAAAGTGCAAGTTACCGTCCACGCCCCCTAGCACCGGCTTAAGCAGAATTCAACATTTAACATGACCTGGTAAAATTTAGAATTTGAAACATCCGCAGATGTGTTCATATGGCGATTATCATGGAACCTTCAATGTGACACGTTAGTGCCATTCCATGAAAAGCGGCATATGGTCCCCTAGTAAAAAAATGCGTGTGCCCTAAACGAGAAAACAATGGGCGGAACTAAATAAAATGGAATTTTGAAAGGGGATCTGAGGTTATGAAGCCTGCATATCACAGATACAGGCCACATATCCTAAGGGTGATTCAACAGTATTCAAGTGAGGAATACTGGAACCACCCAACTAGAAAATGCCGAAAAGTTGAAACTAAAAATACCACAAGCACAACAATAATGTTTAAGTTAGTTCGAGGAAAGGACCCTAGAAAGGCACAAATAAGCTTCAAGCTTTAAATTTATATATAGATATGTTTCAAATAAGTTGCGTAATGACCGTGGAGTCAGAACTCTTCAATGAAAATGACTACCAATCATTAAAAAAATTGACTCCCCAGGCATAATTATATGACCCCTTTGCACGACATAGAGTGGCCAGAAAAAGAGCACTCTGAGTATATAGCACGTAGTAGCATCAGCAAAAGATCTAACTCATACGTAGAAGTACAAAACATATATTGCACCAGTTACTATTGTCCAAATTTATGGTGAACATGTAGCACTAAATATGTTGTAATTTTCTCTCCTGAAATTTAAAGCCTTGCTTAGATCCCATTTAGTGTATTTCCAATAAACAAAATCTTGTATTTTATATAATGATGAATATAATGAGAATTTGAAATAAATACAGAATACTTATCACGAACACATGAGCAGTGAATACCACTAGACAAAATGACATTGCGGATTAATTACAATAATAAAATCTGACGGCTATAAGATATTGTCCCGTACTTCATCACAGTGTTTTCATATTTTACTTTGGAATCATTGTTTAGTGCTAGGGTACGTGAAAGATGTGAAGATATGTCTTATGAACTGACCCGATCAAACAATAAAAACAACAACAATAGAATTTTAAAGAAAATAAGCCTCTGTGATGTAAATTTTACTGTTAAGTGTAGGACGTAGGTAGATGGTAAGGTCAAGGTCAAATAGTCAGAGAATGAAGACTTATGTTGCAACAAAAACAACAGCTTCCAGTTCCAGTTCTTTTTGAGATTGAATATTTCTTCAGAATGAGTCATTATTTACTAGGAAACAGTTAATTTTGTGACTGGGCCGTATTACTCTGGGCTGGGGGGCACTTTATTTAGTTATATCGGCTTAATACTAGCGTTACTATAAGATTTCTAGTCCTTAGGATGATTGATGCCAAACGATTATCATTAAATCAGTTACATTGTAACATTTTCTTTGTTTCGTACATTAGATCTAATTGTTCAAATATGATCAGAAACAAAAACAAGAGGGCCATGATGGCCCTGAGGTCGCTCACCTGTATAAAGGCACCCGGAGCGGGGCCAGTTTAAACCCCCAGGGCTTTTATTTGAACAAACTTGGAAGACACCCATTAGAAGATGTTTCACGATGCTAAGTTTTTACTACACACATATAATGAAATACAACGATCTACCCTCCCTCTTGAACAAACTTGGTAGACACCCATAAGAAGATGTTTCATGCTAAACATCTAGGCTCTAGCTCATTGGGATTTTTTAAAAGACGTTTTTTAATCAAACCGAGTCTGCAATTCTTACGTTATTTTGTTGCGATTGGTGCTTCCGAGGGATCACTTTGTTTCCAGATTTTTGTACTTCACAACAGCAGGGGTCAAGTGCTGTGTGGCAGCTGTAAAATGTTGCCCCGTACTTCACTTCAGTGTTGTTATATTTTTCTGGTCCGTCGGGATCATTGATGCCAGCACTATTAAGTGTTGAGAATTGAGTACCGCTCAAGCCGGTGCTAGGGGGCGTGAGGGATGTTGCACTTATTCATTATCCCTCATGTTCAGACTCAATCAAACCGGGTCTGTAATTCTTACGTAATTTTGTTGCGATTGATGCTTTCGAGGGATCACTTTGTTTCCAGATTTTTAAGTTTTTACTATACACATATAGTTAAAACCAATGACACCTTTGGGGCGGGGCCAATTTTGACCCCATGGCTTTTTTTGAACAAACTTTGTAGACAATTAGTAGAAGATATTGTTTCATGCTTAATATCTAAACTATAGCTATTTGGTTTTTTCAAAGAAGATTTTTAAGTTTTTGCTATACAAATATAAGGAAAATCAATAACACCCGGGGCAATTTTGACTCCAGGGCTTTTATTTGAACAAACTTTGTAGACACTCACTAGAAGATGTTTCATGCTTAATATCTAAACTCCAGCTATTTGGGTTTTTTCAAAGAAGATTTTTTAAGTTTTTGCTATATACATATAAGAAAAATCAATGACACCCTTGGGGCGGGGCCAATTTTGACCCCAGGGCTTTTATTTGAACAAACTTGGTAGACACTCATTAGAAGATGTTTCATGCTAAATATCTTAGCTCTAGCTCTTTGGGTTCTTAAAAAGATTTTTTTTAAAGTTTTTACTATATGCATATAGGGAAAATCAAAGACCCCCAGGGGCGGGGCCAATTTTGACCCAAGGGCTTTTATTTGAACAAACTTGGTAGACACTCACTAGAAGATGTTTCATGCTTAATATCTAAACTCTAGCTATTTGGGTTTTTCAAAGAACATATTTTAAGTTTTTACTATATACATATAGGGAAAATCAAAGACCCCCTGGGGCGGGACCAATTTTGACCCCAGGGCTTTTATTTGAACAAACTTGGTAGACACTCATTAGAAGATGTTTCATGCCAACTATCTAAGCTCTAGCTCGTAGGGTTTTTTAAAAGAAGATATTTAAAGTTTTTTCTTTCGGTTGCCATGGCAACCAGAGTTCTGCATGGAATTAATTTTTAAAGGTGATCACCAAAGGAACATTCCTGTGAAGTTTGGATGAAATTGGCTTAGTGGTTTATGAGCAGATGTCATTTAAAGTAAAAGTTTACGGACGGACGACGGACGGACGGACGACGGACGGACGGACGCCGGACGAAAAGCGTTCACAAAAGCTCACGCTGTCACTTTGTGACAGGTGAGCTAAAAACGGTTACAAATATGAAATATGTTGCAGCTTTTCAGTGCGTTTCCTTACATCATTGTTTATAACTATCTGCGAATTATGTATTTACCTTTGTGCGACTTTCATATCTATTTTTACGTCAGAAATGAATACATTGAACAATTATTGTCTTTGTGACTTTAAGATTTACCTCCCAACTGGGACACGGATAAAAAATTTATGGGGGACTTTTGGAAAAAACATCAATTTTCTAAAGCTATGCTATCCTTCCCCCCTTGATGTCAAGAACGTTAAAAGGCTGTGGGAAAAACCTAAACGGACTATATGACGAAAATATAAACAAAGAATATCTTAAGAAATGGGAGTAAGTATTGATCACGGTATTGAGAAGCAGGATATTTCTCGTTAGCCCAATTTATTTTTGAACCAATAAGTACCTTCTTAAACAAGTTTTTTTTTGTTTTAAAGAACTTTCATAAATTTTTCAAACAAAGTGATGTCGGAATTCTTTGTCACATTTAGTAATAATTTTTCAAGAAATAATTTTGATAATTTAATTCAGAATTGAAATTATATTCAAGCTCTTCGAAGGTTTTACATATATCATGGAAAAACTGTTGGCTCTTTTAACAATGCCAAGGGGGCATCAGACGGGGCATAGTCGTTAGAAGTAAAATAAATAATTATTTTTATGAATAATAAAAAGTAAATGCCAATTAAATTTGTGTTAGTGTCATTGAGGCCTAAACGATATATGTTCACATGAATATTCAAAGATTTACATGAAGTAAGCTATAAAGTTTGAAAATGTGTACAATCAATATTATGCTTGCTTCATGTTTTATGTCTATACAACGATGCCATTCAATACATTATTATAAACGTAGAATTATAAAAGCAGAGTTTAGAATAATGTGTCAATCAAAGGTAAGAATGTTTTCGACAAAATTTGTAAATATACCGGTAGTAATATTTAAGTTATATGAAAGCTAAAAACACTAAAATGCAAGAACACAAAATGTCAGCTAACACCCGATCATTAAAATATAGCATGAAAAGAAATATCCCAATAGTTCTACCTTTGACCACAATCATGCAATACTGAAGTAACGGATAGATATAAGAATAAGATGCATTAATGTTTAAGTAGCAGACAAACCTCTCCCACACGAAGTTCATTTATTAAGGATCATCTCCTGTGGGTAAACAAAGATTATAGACATTCTCTGAAACATCAAGTGCTTCTGAGAAAGTGCGGTTAACTCCTCCTCCTCTGCTAAAACATCCCCTGACCTAAAACACTAGTACATTGTACTTACAATCGAGGGAATTGAATAACACAAACTGAATATATATTGAGGCCATTTTAAACTTATGCAAACAGGATTCGATTGATATTTCAACACAAATTTATTTCCATTATTGAGAAACATTTACAGCCAAATTGTTTACCCAGTCTGTTTTAACCTTTGAGCTTTCATTGTTACGATACCAAAAGAAGTTCTTAGTAAACAAACACGTAAATGTATCTTATCAATAATACAAGTGACAAAGGTAAAATATATGTTGATGCTCTGTCATATGAAATATGATAAACAAGATCAACAAGGAAAGGCGGCGTTCAATGAACGCAACCCCCACATGACCAAGCAACAAGAACCAATGGCAAGGAGCCCAGGGGGACCCCAAACAAAAACAGGACAGGGCAAAGACAGAGCACGGACAGGTTAATCATTAAATGATAATTAATTTGTAACTGATTAGGAATTCAAAGAAAATAAAATAGGCCCACAAAGGGGAAGGGGACAGGAGACCGGGGGAGGGGGTGGGGAGTAATCAAAGAAATAAAAACTAGAGGCAATGGGGAAGATACTTACCGTAGACGAGAAAACAACAAGGGACACAAGCAAAAGTGTCACCAAAACAGTATGAAACAACATAAGACATACATCTGAGGAACACAGTGGGGCGCCGCCTTGGAACGGTCAGCAGCATAATAATGACTGCTGGGGAGTTTAAACCGGTTAATGGTGCACCAAACCTCGCTCTTAGCCCCACCATGTTCCTATAAACGAGACAGTGTAAATAAAATGAATCCCCGCCAAGTGAAATTCTAACAGTTGTCATGGTTACAAAAGGTTAAATAAGTAAAACATAAAAAATGATCATGTAGAAACATATAAAAGTAAAACCCAATGACCATAAACAAAAGTACTCAATGTCCTAAAGGAAGACAGAGCAACAAGAAAATCACCTACAAGGGCCCGACGAAGCAAGGCAGAAAGACGAACATTAAGACAATTCAGTCCCAAAGGGCTTTACGAACTATCCATCATAGAGTCTCCCACTTGGTCCGTCAGATGCAATCAAAAGAGGAAAGCGTAGTGTCCAACTGTAAAAGGGTTGAACACTAAACATGCAGTATGTCTTAAAATAGTAGGGTCATAACCTCTTTTAATAAAACGTTTAATGATTTTAGTAAAAAACAGCAGAAAAATTACCATGACCCAAAATCTTACGAAGTTTGTAAAATCACATCGCCATAAAAAAACCAGGCTGGCTAATCCCTTGTCGCAGAAGAGTTTTTTAAACCACTATTGAATTTTGGAAATTAAATCAAAGTTACGAATTGTAAAATTTAGTAAAATATTTCCGTAATTTATGATAGCGGTAGCCCTGTTTTAGAAGCTTGCTGGTAATAAAAATATTCCGCTCGTTGAAATCCTTTACCGTTTTTGCTACAAGCTCTAGCGAATCTAATTAACTGGGAAACATAAACCCGTAAGATGTTGCATGGGGTACGTCTCCATCTAAATGTGGATAATTAACTATTCAAAAGTCAAAGTCATCTCTTTTATCATAGATTTTCGTGTGAAATAGAATTGTTGTTGATAGTAATATGAAGATCCAAAAATGATGTACTTAAATTGAAGAGTTCGTTTTATTAAGTTGTAGTTCATGCGGATAAATGTCAGACACCATTTGATCAAAATAAGGATTATCTAAATTAAAAATATCATCAAGGTATCTGGAAGTATTATTAAATGCGACTATAACATCTTGTTGTTTATCTTCAGAGAGACTCAACATAAAGTCTCTTTCATAGCAGTACAAAAACAAATCGGCGACCAGGGGTGCACAATTTAGTACCCATAGGAATTCCTATTAGATCTGTTTAAATAGGGTATTACCAAGCCTGACATAAAATGTTGTCTAAAAGAAAAGAGAGTGCTCTACAAACTTCGTCACAGGTCCACATAGTATAATATTTTACAATACCGTTAGTAAAAAAAGCTTTGTTAGAATTACATGCTAGAAAGGTAACTCGTATTATAAAAAGGTCACTGCGAATTTTATGTATTACTGCAAATGTAACTTCTGCTTAGATGACCTGTCGTTGTCCAGCAAACTACAGACCAAAGGGACACAATGTTGTTCGTTATTATCAAGCAATTGCCTACCAGGATACTATATATACCCTGCTAAACGGTTTTCCAGGGGGAAAGAAGCCATTTGTGACCAAACATGTAATACTGATAAATAACCTCGTTAAAGCAAGGCTTTTGATAAAGTCGCTCTTTTGAAAATCTTATTTTTTACAAAAACCCACAAAAACATTGTTTTGGCTTCTTCTCACTTAAACACATTATTTTTGCTTTTTATATTTTTTAATTTGGACTTAATTGCAAACCTTTTTTTTATCGAAAATAAGGGTCGGTCCTCTTTTTATTCTTAAGCCACAGTGATTGTGCCTCACTCATTGTTCATGTTTTAAAGCAAACATTAGTTTAGTTATGTAAAATATATTCATCTGCCTAAAATGTAAATAAAGATGTGTTTAATTATGTAGTTTAAACAGTAATAATGTTCATATTATTAAAATCTATATAAAGTATTGTACCTTTTTTAAAGCCTTGTTTGGACAAGATAATGGCCTCTCATGATTGTCTCTCCAAATTACAAGTTATTGTGATCAGCACGACTCGTGGTACATCCATGTAATATTTGGTGTGTTTTTTAAATTACATTTTGCCCAAAAATATTTGCAGGTTACAACAGAGTTTGTTTAACACAGTGCGTTACAATTTACCGACATCTTGGACGTACGATCATAACGTTTGCATATGTCCTAGGGCTGTTCCAAGCGCAAATTCTCAAACATTAACTCAAGGCCATAAAGATTCCAGGGCAATATGTTTCTCTCAGCAGTATGCAACGTGTACAGAACATATTGAACTTCAAGGAGAAACGAAAACTTGCACGATAAGAAACAAGAGATCTGTTGAGCGCCATAGAAGAAATAATGAAAGGCTGTTTGCTCTCTCGTCATTAAATGATAATTTGCGTAGCCGAATTCGCAAGGTATATATGGTTATATATATAAGTCACATTTCTTTTTAAAGAAAAAAAGGTATCTAATGCCTGATTAGAGTTACATAGACAATGCAATATGCTTATGAAATAATTAAAATTAAATTCTGTAAATGTCTGGAAAAAGGTGATCTCTCGGAAGCATTAAAACAACAAAATTACATGAAAATTGCAGACTCGGTTTGATTGAATCTGTATCCTTCTGTAGTAATAAAGGAAAAAACATCATTATGCACGCACTGTTAAACGTGTACTAAAAGATAAAACAGCGAAATGAAATTTTGCTTTGGCGAAAGCGGTCCTGAAGACTGTGCATCACAGTCAGTTGTCTGAAAAAGACAAACATCGGGCAACATGTCACATGAATAGGTTAAAAGAAGTAATACCAATTGACACAACACAAAAATAAATGGTGTAATTAGTGCATGACAAATATCTACTTATTATTTTATATTTAACATAGTTAAATGTTTTACAGAGTACTACCAATACTCACATGTCTGAAGAGCAAGCTTACAAAGAGTGCCTCGATGTATTCAGATCAAAGCCGACATACAACATGATAAATGATTTACCTGACATAGCTTTGAACCAATCATTATCTGCATGTGTCAATGATATGATGGTTTGTTGGTTTATCAATTAAATGTTTATCCCATAACCTACTGGAACTAGAAGTGATTAACCTTTGTCATCAGTACAGAACATAGCAAACCTACACATTTATACATTCAAGCAAAGTTCTATAATGATGTTAGCGTTTTGTTTTATTTTAATACTGAACTCCCTTAAACTTTGACGGAACTGTTCCAAATTAAAAGCTGAATTAATCCATTCAACACACGTAGCAGGTTAATGGATATGAAAAGTATTTTACAGTCATTTATATAGATGCACGTCATGTATTTTATTATGAATCTACTGCTAACTGTACTCAAGAAATCTTACTATTTATGCTGATATGACTGCAAACATTTAAATCTTTACATGTTGTTCTATAATTATGTGTTCTATTATCACTTCTTTAAAGAAATTTGTGATTTGTCATATAGCAATTGAATGCTTAAAAGGAAACTAGTTAATCGTTACAACATAAATATATTTTTATATTTTGAATAGGTTAGGTGGGGTTTTTCTGGAAAGGGAAAATTTATAACATTTTTGGGTTAAGTGTTGTTACCCAAGAGATGCTCGGAACGGCAAAAGTTCAAAAGAAAAAAAAGCCCCGGCGTCTTTCGTGCATTTAAGAGTGTCACATGTCCGTCGCAATGTAATGGTAATGGAAAATGTATCAATGGTATGTTGTGCAATTTTGAAGTAAGATCACCTTGATACTTATAATAGTGCCATTTGTATAAAATTTAAAAAATGATGATAATTTTTCTGCTGTATTTGATTTTTTCTTAATTATTTTAGGAATGCCTAGTATATATAAATAGGACAATAAAACATATTGAACAGAATGAATTTGTTTGACACTTTCAGTTGTTACAGAGACAATAAATATGAAGTTTTGTTTTAAGAGTCGACAAAGTAGCGGCTATATTCATGTTTCAGGAACGTGTGTATGCAAAGACGATTACGTCGGGGCTTCTTGTTTTGTAAAGAAATCAACACCTCTAGAATTTACCGATATAGAAGGTGGTGGTGAATGCGATCTTGCCGACGGAGACGATTGTCACGAATGTCTTCAGTTTCACACGGATAACCTACTGAAAGGATTCAAGTGCAGAATTGATATAAATGATGTATGTTGTACATTTTTGAATCATCTCTGTCCATTTGAACGCGTTCCTGTTCGAACCCATCGATAGAATCAATTAACTTTTCAATGCAATCATGTTGAAAGGAGATTGCTGTAGTTTGGTTTAGACATTATAATAATAAATGAACTTTGTTCACCATGAACAAAACGAGTTGTTTTACTTTTGTTAAGTTAGAAAGTCCAAAATGACAAAATTGAAAATGTTAGAGGCTCGGTTTGATTGAGTTTGTTCACGTTAAATCATACTTTTAATAAAAGTTATAGTGATTTGTTTTATAATTACATGTATTTGAATTATAAGTTAAAATTTATTGTTTTATTTGGATGTTGATTTTACGGGTATTTAATTTGTACAGGTTGATGTAAACGGAACAGTGGTCAATTCTGATAACCTCGAGCGTAACGGAGAGTATGAAAGTGTATTCGACGGATATTGCTGTCCTTCGGCTGCAGAGAAACGACGAAAGAAAAGGGATGTCACATCTCATGGGTTTACTGTAAGATACTCTGTATCTATAAGCAACGATGGAATACACTTTGGCCCAAGTAGGAATGTTGATGTCTTCGATTCCACTTGTCAGTCATTCGTCGTGATGCCAACAGGCGATCTCCTTTTTAGTTTGAAGGTTGGGATTATCATCATTTTTGTTACATAGAAAATTGCTCTGAATCAAAGGAAGACTAAATAACTAGGAAGAAAAGAAGCTAGTATTGATCCCTTTAAAGACATTATTCACGTGATTACAGTGATCTGGAAGAAGATGGAATATCAAATTCCTGATTGCCTTAAAATTATTTTCTTATGACTAATGACTCTCACAGACCTGGGGATGATTACATTGATCAGTAATTGATTTAATTACAATTACTTTCAGATTTTATTGTAATTGATTACAATTGATTACTCAGACTTGCCTCTGTAATCAATTAAATTACAATTACTTTAAAAAAGTAATTGATTGATAATTGATTACATTCATTTTTTTTTTAATTTATTATTTTTATTATAGTCTGTATTATACATTATAAACATTATATACACAAAGGATTTCCAGCTCATCAACAGTCATCAATTTAACACAATTTTAGTTACTGTCACATCACTTTATCATATTTTAGCATTGCACTTTAGCATCATAAGTTCATGAAACCTTCTGTCAGTCAGACTGCATCTATCAGAATGGAAATTTTTTTCACGCAACACTAAACAAACGCTCTACAGGGGCCGATGATGCAGGAATAGTCTTCGATCAGTCTTCTTGGTGTAGGTTTCATAAAGAACTCTCTGCAACAGAAATTTTGAAAAGTGTCAATTGTACAGTATGCTGTATACAGGTGTTTAAACAGGTGTGAAACAATACATTTTTGAATGGGAATTCATTTACAAAGAAATTATCAATTTTTTTACAAACACTTAAATGATACAACAGTATCCATTATAATATAAACACATTGTCTATCACCTTAGAAAATAACTGTTGCATATAATTAAAATATGGTAATATGCATCTGACATTAAACTCTAGAATATACAAAAGTAAAGAAGTTATCTACATTGTTTTGAAAACTATTTTACAAACATGGTTAAACCAAAGTATGTGAAACAAATTTAACATACCTTTATGTTGGTAATAAATTTGAATTGACTTAGTGTTTCCATTTATCTTGCTAGGGCACAATTTGCACTGTGCTGTCACATTTCCAGGTGTCTCTTTAGAAAAAATTCAAAGACATTCAATAAATCTAATGATTTGACATTTTGATTAGAATACCCAGCGTCCAAACAATGTCCATCTTTCAGTTAGAATTTTGGTACAAATGTATGGATTAAACTTATTTCTCATTGTGAGTGATGTCTTAAAAACATCTCACTTGATTTTTTCTAACCTTTATGGGCAATCACTGTTTATTATGACAATTACTATTATTTACTTCAAATTTGGATATCAATAGAGAACATTCTTTCTATTCAATAAAAATGTTGCTCTTGTGTATCAAAATCAATCAATTTAAACACTACAATTTGTGATTAAAGAGTCTAAGTTGAACTGTAACATGTGAAATAAATCATTTACATGTAAATTGCAAAAGTTTCATGTAAAATCTGAAAGTAATCAACATCAATCAAATTGTAATCATAATTACAGACTGAATTTAAGCTGTAATTGATTAATTACAATTAATGTAATCAATTTTGAGCAAGATAATCAATTACATGATGATTACAGTGTAATCATGTAATCAATTAAAAAAATGATGATTACGATTAATGATTACCCCAGGTCTGGACTCTCAGTAAATCGATTACCATTGAACTCTATTTGTTTTCAGGCAGACACATGTTATATTGGTAACCAATGCTACAGGGATGGCGACCGAAGTCTTGTAAGTCCCAGCCTCATTTGCTGTCCAACAGTTACAAGCTACCAGTGGACAAATCGGCAAGGTAACTTTATCGTTCGTATGTCTCGATCTCTCCCTCCTTTAATTGATGTCCATATAATAAAGATGTAACTACGTCGAATCAAAAGCAACCGAGAGCCGAAAGCAAGTAATATTGCGACAGTTCGCTAATAATTAACCAATTTATTCAAAGTACCAATTATGGTGATATTATCCAGGTGCAGTGATATTACTTTTAATAAGTGTATATACATATATGTACGTATGTATATCCTTCAAATTATATTTTTGCACGATATTAGAATGTGATACGCAACACAGTAATTCGGAAAACAGCAGGGATAGTAGTAATGTTGAAGTTGTCATCGTTTCTGTATCAGTGACGGGAATATTGATAGTTGCCTGTGTAGTGGTGTTTGCCATTTGGACCTACAAAAATAAAAAGAGGTTTGTTTAGATATATTTTTTTCTTAATCTTTAGTTTTTTTTATGGGCGTTATTATTTTCCC